GAGGGTGGAACCCACTTCAAATTAGATTATCTTTGTGAGATCTGTATGTAGTCGTTTCCATGTATTGTATGGAAGCAAACTGAAGGCTCAGAATAACTGAAAGAGAACGTAGAAAATAGTTGCACTTGCAATTATGAATATAAATAGCTGTAGACACTTCATATTGTGTTTATTTAAATATTTACAACATATTTAAAAGCAAATAGGGATATTTAGATAGTATAGAAGATTAACAGCTTTTGATTTGTACACAGTGTTTCAGCCAGACTTTCTGCTGTCCACAGTATTCTTTTGTGCATTCGTTTACGCTCTTGTGAAGGGATGAATTATTTTGTTTAATGTTAAGTATTAAAATCTTCTCCTTCCTTACTTAATATTTGTTTGAAGGTAGTTTTGACACTTGGAGACAGTAATTTTGGAAAATAAAAAGGCAAATATCTCAATGGGAATATATAATGAAAAGAAAAAAAAAAAAGTCTTTCTCAGTCTCTCATCTTTCTTTCCATTGCCAAAGCGTGTTTGTCTGTTCCTGAAGCTTCAGAGTTTGAATGCTAAAACTAATTCGCTTGTTTTTAAAAATATAATCTCAGTGAAAGGGTAGGGTTTTGTCTTTTTAGTACCAGATGAACACGTATTTTACACCTGAGAAAGTTGCCTTCACAAAACCAGTTATATACCTGATGTTTCCAGTAAAGTAATAACACATACTCTTAAATGTCAAGAAAAAAATGAATAGTTAGTGACCTGCAAGACACAGAGCATTATAATTTTTATAAACTTTTTATCTTAGAAATAATTAGAGATGTTGAATGTGTGTTTGTAATCTTTTCCTCTTCCCTTGTTTCTTAAAATCTTATACATGAGTACTGAGTCTTTTTAATTCTTAACTATGTATTTAGGCATTGAACATAAATTGCATTTGGTGAACAAGCATCCTCTTTTCTGGTATTGCATTTTCCAAGTTTCCAGAACTTTACAGATTCTTTCAGGAAAAGCATGTTCAGAATATGAATATAAAAATAGGGGTTTTTTGGTTGTTGTTGTACCACTAGAAGATAAAAAATCACTTCTGGGGCCTTTTGGAGACATATACCACGATCACTATATTCTTCCTTTGAGTATCATCATTGTGGAATAGAGGAGAAAGAGCATTATAGTTGGTCCACTTTGTCAGTTGTTTTCACAGATGATTGCTGGGGGGAAATCTGGGGTTCCCCTCCCGACTCTCCAGGGAGAAGCGCGTTGTAACCAGAGAGGTTCTTAAGCCCGCTTGGGTCTCCCAAGAGGTGGCTTTATTGCCCCAGCATCTTGTTACTTGCAGTCCAGGTTCTTCGCCATCTGTGGCTGTTTGTATCCATCCCATGCACCTTCCTAGGCCATCCTGCTCTAGCTTATCCCATCTTTGCCAACACTGCCCTTCCTTTCGGCCTTCCTTCCCTTCTCAGCGCGTGCCCGGAGGGCTGCGTGTCCCTGCCTGCCTGCCCAGCTGAGCTCCCCGCCGCGTTGCAGGCGGGCAGGCCGCGCCGAAAGCTGCCGCAGTGCTGAGCGGCGATCTGGGTAACCGGACTTCAGGCGCTCAGGGTAGCGCATCCTATGTCAGTGCCGGGCTCCGTTTTCAGAGACGGTTTACCCAGGCTGGAACGTGAGTAGTGCAGACAAAAACTAGTGGGAATTTAACTGCTAAAATGATGTTTCTTTACACAGCCACCTCAGATCTACCCTCTTCCCCAGGAAGAGGAGGCTGGCTATATGAGAGACTAGTTTTCATAGCAACAGCAGCAGGCTTGTGCTTGGGAGAGATGACTGTTACCCCATAACTCATTACCCCCAGAGGCAGAGGGGAGCTAGAGCTGGGTGCCCTCTAGGAGGGGGTGCTACAACTTAATGAAGACAAAGCCTATTTCTCCTATCCTTGTTCTCAGAAATGGCTGAAGTATTTTGGCTGAATCTTTCAAAAAAAAAAAAAAATTCTGATCGAGGAAGGTAACCGGCACTGAAGAATTAAAGTCTTAATTTAAACTCTTAAATTAAATTTTACAGGTTGAGTAAACTGCAGACAGTGCTATGATGAGAGGGATTGGGCAATTTTAATTTATAGGCAGTGCTGTCAAATCTATTGAAAATATACTCTTTTTGAGAGAAAGCAATCTATAATTCCTATTAAATAAAACTTACTGTAGCAGACTAAACTAAAGCTAGAATTTGTCTGTTGAGCTGCTTTGTGAGTCGGAAGGTTGCCAGATTCTTTTATGTGATGTCTTGATGCTTGACTTGCTGAAAGCAAAAAATACAGGTGCTCTGCTTTCAGCATACAAGGTCAGTCATGGCTGAAGTCAATAGGGGATTACAGAAGTTTTTGCAGGACTTAGGGGCAAAAACAATCCTCACTTCATGCATTACTCAGGACATATCTGGCATATAAACGTTAATTGATTATACACTAGATTTAATGTAGACAAAATGTGACCTCGGATGTTTCTGGGTGAAATGCTTCTATTTTCTTGAACAAATTCCATTTCAGCTGTACAGGTGCACACTGTGTCCCATGTACTGTCTACGTTTTCCAGCTGCAGAACTTATCTGGACAAGACGATAACCGTACCTCATCAGCTCCTGTTTGGTAATGTTTCCTGAACGGAGCATCTGACACTAAATGCTCAAAAACTTATTCCAATTCATAGTCAAATCAAACGCTTGAAAATAGCAGTGCGAGTAGCGTGTGTATCATGGGCCTACTTTGCTCTAGTTTATTTTTGTATCGCTTATGTGCGAGTGCCACGGACCAGTGGCATGTGGTGACCTCACCACGAGGTGACGGGTCGGTGCTTGTTGAGGCGGGCGTCGCGGGACGTGAGGCTGAAGAGCAGTTTGGGAATAGAGTGCTGCGCAACATGATAGCAAAAGAACACAACAGCCTGTCCTAAAGCACAAGTTATTGTGAAGCTTTAACCTCATCAGCTTTAGGTCATGGATTTATGCAGCTTAGCACCAGCTTTGGGATGCTGGAACATGCCAAAGGAGCACATATGTGCCTCATTTTAGTTTTCATTTCCATTTAGTATTTCTCAATAGCTCCCCCAACTTAATCAAAATGCTAACAAAACTGCAAATGATTTATAATTCATTACAGTTGTAATATATGTATGTGGCAACCCGGAAAATGACATTTAAAAACAAACCAAGGGAACAATTTCAAATTCTCAGGGGATGAAGAGGAAGAGTTCTCTAGGGGAGAAATGCCCTGCTTAACGACTTGACTGAAAGACTAGGATTTAAAAAATAAATCCTAAACCTTGTCTTGCTTTCTCCTTCAACAGCAAGGTCCTGCACAGGGCCATATCCTGTGTAACGAAACTGGTCATATCTTATGAAATGGTTATCCTCAAGGAAGCTGTGATTAAAAGGAAGAAGATAGGGAACGCTGCTTCTTTATCATGAGCAAACCGGAAAGAAGGAAAACAACAGTGCTGTAACTAATTGCTTTTTCTGTTTGTTTTGTTTGTGTCCTGCACCCTCAGATGCCAGTGAACCTGCTGAGGACTCGAACAGTGAAAGTTCATCCCTTTCGTCTGAGGAAGAAGGGGAAATTCGGGAGAGTTCATGACAATTCTTTGAGAGAAGAGGGTGGGATGCGCCTTTTATATTTTTTCTTTTATTTAATTAAATCTTTTTTTATATGACCGAGTTCTTTGAGGTTCAGTTTGGTATGCTTTACTAAAGACAGCACTTCCAAACTGACCGTTTAATTATGGATTTTGTAATGCGTATTTAGCTATGTAAATAAAGACAGGGATTGTTGGTTCCAGAAAAGTCTGATTATTCTTATTGCATTGCACACTTTTGTCTATATATCTTTCAAAAAATCAGAGTAACCCAAACTTAAAGCTTCCAGGTTAGCTTCAACAGTATATTTTTTCCCCTTTATCCTAAAATTTTGGTATCTTATTTCTCTATCTGGTGTAGTTGAACTGGTTGGTTTTAACTATCTGTATTTCTGTTTACATTTATGAGTCAGAATACTTAAATTCCTTTTAAAATCCTGTGTTTTCTTGGACAAATTTTCTTTTAGGGTATTTCTTGTCATGCTTAGCTGCTGCAGATGGTCTTACTTTGCTGTTGATTTTAATCTTCTGTGGTGACGTTTTGGGTGCTTAGCGCAGTATTGTTTTTTCTTATTTGGTTGCATCCTGCTGACTGTATTAAGCAAGGGATGAGATCGAGCCATGGTTTCTGGCTGGCGTGCTGCTGTATGTTTAATCTTCCAGCGTGATGTTCCAAATTAGCATGTGTTTAAGAATCAACAGAAACGAATACGTGGAGTCTCACTAATGCACATATATTGGACAGTGCTTATGCTGTGCACCTTATGTTATTAGTTTATCTACTGAAGCCAGGTATTGCAAATATGTACTGGAATATCAACTAGGCCTTACCTAATTCGAAACAAACCTTAAAATTGTGTGCCATATCATCTGCTGACAACAGAAATTGTTTACCTCTGTGGCAAGATTTCAAGATCCCAGATCACTTGTCGCCCATATCCAAGTCCCTCGTGTCTGTGGGATCTGTTGGAGGATGAAAAGAAGTGCCTGAGAGCAAGGTGTGCTGCAAGCGGTGTTAGACAGGTCGGGCCCTCTGCACATGGGCACCGTGCGGTTCTCAGAAATCAGCATAGGTAGCGTGGGCCTGTCTGCTCGGGGCTGTTTTGGGATCAGTTTGCGGGGAGGGGGGGTTTGTGGTTCATCTAAGGACTAGCCACAAGTCAGCGTTTGTAAAGTCTTAAGCACGTGGTCATTTAGTAAACAGCTCTGTGGATTTAAGTTGTTGCCATCATCATTACCGCAGTCTGTCTGTCTCCTGCCTGAGATTATCACCTTCATAACAAAAGCGGGTGGCATGGGACACGCACAAGTCGGCCACCTAAGTGCAGAGCGTGGTGATTTGACCTTAAACTGCCATGCAGGTCAGTCATAAGAGTGTTCTTTCTGCCAACATTACAGATAGGAAGAGAACAGAAAACCGTGAAGACACTTGTTGCGGTCACATAGAGGGGTAATAGCAACATAGGGCAGGGCTCGGGCCTCCAGGCTCGCGGTGTAGCATTTGGGCACCAGCTTGTTGGTTCTCTACCAGGCATACTCCTTGGAGAGGATTTTTGAATTTTACATGTTAGTCTTCTACGCTTTTGCAGTCAGACTGTCTATAAAAAATTGTTCACTGACGCATCCAGCTAATGAATTTTGGAAAGAGCACCAGACTGTTGTAGGTCACATACTAGTATTTCTTACGAAAATATCATACGCCCTTTGTGTGTTTTGCAACCTTTGGTAAAACAAGGACTTTTTCTTCTTGCCTGGCAGTAGCTGCCTGTGTTACCTTTTGGGGTTTGTTTGTTTGTTTTTTTATCATTATTGGTCCCTTGCCCACAGCTTACTTCCTTTTCTTTATATATAAACCCTTTTGAAAGGACTGTGATTCCTAGCTATAGGTACTGCTTTCATTTCTTTTCAGTTCAGCGAAAGCGAATGAGCTTTTCCTAGTCAGTGATGACTGCGTGCTGACTGGGTAGCCACAAATTACTTTAAATCAGTCTTGCATCCATCCATATTAATACCAATAGAAGAGCAGAACAAGATTGCCACAGTTCATCTGCCAGAATATGTTTCATCTGCAGTAAATGCATGGTATTCCTGTTCTTAAGATTCATCACACATACTGGAAATCAGAGTGCTGCAGATACTAACGTACGATCTGCATGTGTATGTGATTAGTCTTTGGCTGAGCAATATAGATTTGTAATAGATGTGATTTGCGTTACTTTCCTACGCTCCTGGAGGTTTTCATTAATTATATGAAAGGATTTGCCTGCTTTGTTTTCCTACATTAAGTCCAGTTTAAGCTCTCTTGTCCGTCAAACACAACCCTAATTTGTTTTTAAGTGAAGATGCCATTAAATCTATCCTGCAGATTGAAATCTTTCCTGACTTTAAAGAAGGCTTTAAAAATGATTAAGGACCATTCCTGTCGTGGTCATTAGAAGTGAAATTTACCAAATGAAGCTGTGGATCGTCTTCGGTTTTCAGTCAAATTCAGAGTAAAAAAGGCCTTGTTAACAAGTGCATTTGCCATTCATTCCCAGCTTACTGCGTACCTATTCTTATTTGTTTCTGAGATCAGTGACGTTAGTTTAAACTGTGGTGATTCATCAGATGTGAGCTAAAAGGGAATCCAAATATTTTTGTTAGGAGTAGCGAAATTTGTTCAATTTTTCTTTAGAAAAACGAACCAGCATCGTGGTCTCTGGCCAAAAGCACAGCCTGACTGATGACAGTTGACCAGTGCCAGTCCCACAACAGTGACAATTCATAATAATAAGGTTGGAGTTTTTTAATCAAACTTTGAGCTTTTTGACTAGGTGGATGATTTTTAACGCTTTTGTAGGCAGTTAGGACAAATTTTTAATTCCTCTCTGAATGATTTATCCCAGAGTGAGCATCTTGTTAATAAACTGAGGAGAGAAAGCGCATCTTAAAAACTCATATTTTTAAATTGCTGGGTCAAGCACTTGAAATTTAGGACGTGGAGCTGAGGCTGCCTGGAAAACTTCTGTTCTATTCATTTTGAAAACATACTATCATAATCTTTATCTCACATGAGGATATCTACGGGCTCTGACTTGATTCAGCACAGATGATATCTGTGCATGAAGACTGTAATGTTGTTTAAATCTTCATCATTCAATACCAAGTTGCACTGAGGGCTTGATTTTAAGGCTAGTATGCTTATTCATTTGCTTTCCTCATAAAGTACTTATCGAACTAATTGTATGCAGCGTTGTTACGTTTCCTTTAATGTTCAGCCTTCTCAGGTTTCAAACCCTGAACTTTCATTTGACAGCGTGCTTGCGCTGGGGGACCATAAGCTTAAACAACAAGGAGTAAAGGCTCTTGTCCTGAATGAACATACTGCTAAAAAAAAGTTAAACGCTTATGAAGTCATCCGTTTCACAGACCGTAAGGGACAAAAATAGAGCATAGCTAAGAGCATAGCACTAGCTAAGAAGTAGGACTGAGTCAGCCATGTGAGAGAACTTGGTTCTTTTCCTTTTTTGTATAACTTCCTGGGAGTATAAGGTTTAAGTTATTGTACTGTCATGGTAACTGGTATACTCTCAGGAGAAAAGCTAAATTTTGAATGAATGCATCTGAATTCTAGGTTGTTTTTGATTTCCTCTTTATCTTGGCATTAGGAATTTTTTATCTGCTGTTCTTAAGACTAGGTCTTAGGGGCGTGCTTGGCTAGAGGGCTAACTAACCTTCGTTACTCCAGGAACGCGGTACGTTTGTATTTTGCATTATAAGTAAAATTCATTACTGTGCAGGATACCCACACTAGTCTTACACAAAAAGAAAAAGAAGAAGAAAGAAAAAGCATCAACTTACAAGTTCACCTTAGTGCTGATACGCCGTCCCACCTGGGCGTTCTGTGTAAGGACAGCTCTGATGCAGACCTTGCCCTGCCAGATACGGCTGGCTGTTCTCTGTTGACATCTGTAGGAGCGGAGAATGCATAACACCTTGCAAGAGCAGGCTTTCAGAGAGTAAATATACAGCTGTGATGATGTAACTTCAGGCCATGTTTGGTCACAAACATTTCACTCTGCTTTCTTAAGCCCCCCTCTTTTCCTGAAAACATTTACTCTTCCTCTCTCCAAAGGAAAAAATATCTTGAATTTGTTTGTGTTGTTGCTATGACATTCAGTTAAACTCTATGCAGATGCAGGTTCTGTTAATAAGAAAAAAAAAAAGAACTGTGTACTTGAGTGAATAAAGATTACCCTGTGTTTGTATTAGAATGTTGCTATGGCAGTGCATATGGTTTTATTTGGTGGAAATTTGTGGCAAAATGGAAGGAAGTCGCATGTATGCAAGACAAACAAGAAATGGCAGCAAAAACAGCTCAGAATAAATACTGAAACTGAAAGGGGAGTTGCAGATGACATATAAAACCAGGAAAACACAAGGATAAAGTAGCCTTTTTCCTGCCTGTCTCCCTGTGATTTGATAACAGAAACGCACTCCTGCTGTGTCTCAGCCTGGTCCTGTTGGACAGTGACTCAGCTCCAATGATGCTTTTATTGTTAGACCTTCTTTCCCACATCAGCTCTGTGGATCATAACATTTTTTTGTTTTGGAAGCAAAATTCCATTGGCATGGCCTGATTTCACCCCTGTTGTTATCCTGCCGAAAAGCATTTCTCTGCTATCTTAACGTATTAGGCTTTTCAGCAAGAAAAATCCAATACAGCAATAGAATTTGGGAAGTCGCTAGAGCCTTGCTTACCCCTGGCGCAAGGGGAAGTCTTTGTGGACTTACTGGCTCTTATTTATGATAGAAACAGTGTTTTTTGGTTTTTTTAATCATTACTGTCAGTCACAGCCTTAGACATGCTGTCTTCCTCCTCGTATGTGTCTGGTCCCTTTGCATTGGGCTTCCTTTTGCGTTAGAGTTCCTGCACAACGTGGAAAAGCTTTCAGTGATGCAGTGATAATGCTTTTGCTATGGATGAATAGGCTATATCAGGCTCCTGGTTAGTCAATCTAAATTATTTCACACGTCCTTCGTTCTTTTGTGTCTGTGGGGCAGTGACACTACTACAGGTATCGTCAAAGGAGTTTCTCCGTTATGCTTGTGTTGGGCAGAATGATTCTTGGTCTCTCTCTCTCATTTCTCAGCCGCGCACCTAGATTATTACCTGATGACTAGGCGTTCCTTATACAACAGTAACAGTACTTTCGCTATTCAGCGGTTTTCACAGCAATCCCAGATCAAGATGACACTGATGCAGGTGTGAATATAGTGCGAGAAGGAGGTGTGAATTAATGAAGCTCTTAATTAAAATTGATATCACTGAGCTACTCACAAGCAATCAGTTTATTTCTGTGGCATATTGACATCAGGGTGGTAAAGCTCTTTCCGATGTGTCTTCCTCCCTTAGATAAAGGTATTATTTGCTGTGAGCTTTCTGCTGGCAGTTCCCCTAGTGCCTGAGAAGATGGAAACCAGCTGCTAATTTCTTAACATTAGCAGCAGCTACAGAGAAGCTCTAAAGATGATGGTGGCACCACAGAGCTACATCACCTGCTTTTTGAACAATTCAGAGAAAGGTATTTGCTGCCAATTACTGTTGAATCTAGACATTTATTTCTAGGATGAAAGTATGTACTCTATAATTATGTCAGAAGAAATGAAAAGCTCAAAGTAGTTCAAATCTCTGTTCCCCTGATCTCACTAAAGATGGGGAATAACACTGCAGTATGCAGACTACAGTGACTGCAGATGGTCAGTATGACACCTCCAAGTGGCATTTGCTGGTGGCTTTGGAAGGTGGCTTGTTTGCACCATGGTCCCAAACATCAGTCAGTGCTGCTGTGGTAATTCCAGGTAAGGGTGCCGCAGGGTACGCAGGCTGCAGGGTGCTAGTAGACTCTGCTGGGTGCTTCTTGCAGAGGTACGCTGCTACGGTGAGGCCGAGTCATTCCACGCAGGTCAGTTCAAGGCTGTTAGTGAACAACTGATAGCTAAAATCTATGTTTTCTTATAAGCTATGTCCTAAACAGATGCACCAGGACAAGCCCTAAGCCCAGTTCGTGTCACCCTCTGTCTTCTGGGCTCAGGATAATTCCTCAAAAGCACTACAGATACCTTGAAGTTGTCAAACAGTGAAACAAATTAACAGTAACCCTTCTGCACAAAATTTAGAGAGTAAATTATCACACTTTACTGGGAGCTGGCTGGTGGAGAATGCGAAAGTGTTTTTACAATCACATTGCAGCTTTCTTCCTCTCACCCCATTTCTGCTTCAAGAGACTGAAAACTTTCTAGTGCCTTTCCACGCGTCACTTCCTGGTTTTCTACTGAATCCTACTGTAGCCCCAGAACTGGCCCATTTTGCCAACAGGGAGCAGAAAAATTAAGTTAGTGAAGGAAGTATGGACATTTAGAAAAATAGCAGATGGGAGGCGTTAAAAAGCTTGCCTGTGAAGTTCCCGTCTCTTTCATATCTAAACTCTCAGTCTTGTCTCTTCGTTATGTTTCTTCACTGCCTCTCCTTTCAGCTGTGTTTGGGCAGCCATGTTAGTTTTAATGGGATTGTTCTGTTATAGCACAAGTTCCTGCTTCTGCAGAATAAAATAGATTTTCCTTTTTTAAATTCTCTTCAGTAGACTCCCTGGTTTTACAGCCATACCATGTTGGTGTCTGATTTTGTCAGATTTCATGAGCTAATTTGGGTCTAACCTGTTTGGTCTGAGATGCTCAAGGAAATGGGTAGCTTCAGAGAAGCTGGTGTGTCAGAATCAGCCTGTCTGCTGGTCGTCTTTTGGTCAGGGGTTGAACCAGTGTTCTCCAAACATTACTGGACTGCACTGTTCACTGCTCATCTGATATTTATAATGGTTGAGTCCCTTGATACCTATTATTAAAATTCTGGTTGCATTCATCATGAGGTCAGGCTGTTCTAACGTTTCTGTCCTAGCCAGGTTCCCGTCTGGGCAAATCTATGTACCTTACCTTTAAAATTCTTATGTCCAGTAAAGGAAAACCTTACGAAAACTTATATAATGTTTCTTTTCTCCTCGATAGCTGCTACATCCCACTCCTTAAGTGGCTGTATTGCAAGACAGATGAAGTTGCGCATGTGAATGGTGCCTTGAGGTCTTTCAGGATGTTCTCCAAAATAAATTGTATATAGAGAAGTCATAGCTTTGTAGTTTTTCCAAAAAAAAAAAAAAAAAAATCAGTGTTTGGTCTTTATGGGATAATATAGACAGATGTTTATTTCATCATTTTATCAGCTGAAATCTTTTACAGGATCTGTATTTTATAGATATTAAGTTTCACTACGTGTAGTTCAATGCAGTTCAGTTGTTCATGAGTTGAAATGCATTTATAAATGTGTCCAAAGCTAGTTGTGTGTCGCTGCTTTCTCTGTGGTCTGTCTTATGTTTCTGTGTGCTGTGGCTATGTAACACGTGGAAAAAAATACGTGAGGATGAAAACACGGACATGTCTGCATTGAAAACAGGCTTGAGGCAGAGCAGTAAGTAGGTCTACGCAGCCTTCCCTTGCTGTGCGCTGAGCACTCTGAGCACTACATATAAATTTTTCCATTGGTTAAACAGAAGCACGCTAAAAAAAAATGCACACATGCGTCTGAGTGCTCTTTGGCAGATCAGATAGAAGGGCCAGCACATGGCAAGAACAAGCCCTGTAAAAGCCTCTCCTTTTGTGTAGGTAGGTAGGTTTGACTTCAAACTCTGAATGATTGTCCACTGCAAACTTTTTTGGTGCAGTCTTCAAGTCCTGCTCAGAAAATCTCCTGCATATCCAGATTTGTGGTAGAGCACCTTGTCAGGAGCGCATGGGGAATTCATGCAGCTTTGAGTGAGCTGTGAGCACAGGAAATCCTCCTGCAGCAATCCTGCTGTTCAGCGTCCTCGCTTGCTGATCTTGCGCAGCCCATGCACCGCCTCAGCTTCCCGCACGTGGCAGGGAAGCCTGGCCTGATGCCTAGCTGGTGTCCCCTGGTGGGTCTGGCAGCCTGGTGCAGCCTGCTTTGCTGTGGGCTCCATGGCAGGTTACGCGTGGGGTATAGTGGTTGTCCTGGCCAAGCTGAGCAAGGGCTAATTAATAGCTTGACTTTCAGTAAGATGTTAGCTTTTCATCCATCTGCTCCTCAGTTTGCGTACTCATTCATGAAAGAAAACTAGCGGCATCCCACCAGAGAGGATTTAGTGTAATGATTGAATTCTATTTTCTGCATACTCTTGCGTGCATTTTACTTTGTTTCCTATGATGCAGCACTCGAGAAAATAGAAATATCTTCATTGCATTGCCTTCATCAGTAGGGAAGGAAGATTTTATGTGTAACCCTGATGATATAGTGATTAACACCTTTAAAACACTTGTAAATAGGCATGTTGAATGAAAGAATAAATATTTATTCAATCCTAAAGCTGTAGTTTGACAAATGGTCCTTTTGGCGGCAGCACCAGCTTCAGCAAACTCTGCCCCATGCCGTTCTTCTCCATCCTCGTGTGACCCCATCAGTTGTACCAGTACAGCTGTTTGTGGGGTTGTGTGACAAATCAGAGCAAGTTAAAAATAATCTACTAAAGAAACACTGGTAGAAGTGACTAGCAGAGGGTGAGGCCGCTGAAGCTGGTGCTGCTGCTGAAAGGGTGATGCTCAATACTGTGCCTGCAGGGTTCTGCACTGGTAATCGTCCTTCTGGTGGGTGAGGACTCCCCAGACAAAGATGGGGCATTTCAAGGTGTCTGGCCTGCTTAGAGGAATTCCACGTAATGTAGACTGTTTTATTTTCAGGGTTTGAACTACTTGATGTCCTGGGATTTAAATATTCCGAAAACTTACTGCTTCTTTCATACACATTATTTATGTTCCTGTTACCTAGTCGATAGAGCTCTTTTAGTATTCATCTTGAAGAAGGATTTTGATATTTTAGTTTCGGAGCAAGAAATAAAATTACAGCTGGGCTCATTAACCTTGCCTGTAAGCCCTGCTACTTAAACCTAAAGGAAAACCATGTTTTTATCATTCGTATTTTTATGCCTCGTATCTCTGTGTTGTCTGCTGCAGCAACATAAAGATTTGAAAGCAAGTGCAAAGATGATTTATAAAAGGTGAAGTTGACTTCTTTTACAGTATTGGGAATTATGGGGTTGGGGATTTTTCTCATATAGCTGTGAAATGCAATAAGTGAAAAGAAAACTATATTGGTGATGATATTTGGTGTGAAATTCCAACTCCAGAAGGTCTGCAATTTGTTCTAGCGGAGGGGTCGTTGACTCTTTACTAGATTAAATTAGCTTGTTATAAAATTTTACTCTCTATTTATATGAGCTGCTCCTGCAACCTTTATTCTCCAACTCAAGTAGATTTTTCTTGTGAGCAAAGATTACAGAACCCCTTCCCTGTCTGGTAAAACATGAAAAGCCCAACGTACAGGTCATAAAATCTAGGACCTGTCTAGAACCACACTTTACACTGGAGTGGGAAGGGCGACTTTTGTTTGTATATGGTGTGCATCTTATAGACAGTTTTGCATATGTGCAGTTTTTAGGGGAACTGTGTTATGTTACTGAAAGATGGATGTAAGTAATTAAAATATGACTACAAGTGGAGATGGTCAAGAACAAGCATGCAGCCACTCTATAGCCATGAATAGGATGTTCCTCTTACCACACAATAACCCAGCATGTAAACGTGGTGGTTCCTCAGTGAGAGGCTGATGTAATGAAGTGTTCAGTGCTAGATTTAAGCAGAACCCAAACAAAAGCGCTTCACTGCATTTTACACTTTTACTGTGAACAAACATTGTATAGACACTTTTAGGTACAGCTAAGACTGGTGGCCAGGTGGTAAATTCCAAAACAGCTAAAGTTTTGAATGCCTTCAGGGAGAGAACTTGACTGAGCAGAAAAAAGACAGCTGTAATTTTTCAGGCAGAGCATTAGCTGCCAGGGATGAACTTCTGAGCTATTTGGCCATTTATTTTATTGAAATATTCATGTCTAATCTAAGGAAAAGCTAATTCAGCCACTGATGCATCTAACTGTATGCTACTAGGGTGTCAATACAACTCTTAACACCTCAAAATCAATCTGTGCTTTTATGAGGCGTAACCTGCTAAAGACTACAGGGGGGAAGATTTTGCCAGAGAACTGACTGGTTATGAGGAGAAAAACCCATTGCAGGTTTCCTTTCAGTCTTATCTGTAGTGCAGCTTTCTGCTAACTAGCATAGTATAAATGTTCAGTGCAGCTTTCTCAGTCCTCCCATAGTTCCTTTTTTTTAAATGTCATCTTAATACATGCCAGCTATCGCTCTTGCAGTTCTCTTGATTAGCTAAATGTCCTCCATGTCCCCAAAGTATAAAGTGTAGTTGCATATTTAAAAAGTGGGAAGGGGAGGTGAGGAAGAGAAAAGATTGGCTGCTTTGCCTTTACTCTCTATTGGAAAAGTACTTGAAATTCCTCACATTCTTCTCCTGTTAACAGTATGTTTACTTTTCATCACTGGGTTATTAGGATTAACAAAAGTCATTGCTTGAAGCTCATTTAATTTGAATTTAGTGAAAGCACACTACCTCCTGCAGACCCTAGGAAACATTCTTCTTCCACAGAAGTGTATTAATTTGCAAAATGCGGCCACCAAAAAACATAAGACCTAGTGAACACTTCCACCCCAACGTTCAACATCACTGTGCACGTACTGCATTCTAATGAAGTACGTTATGTTGCAAATTCCAAGACAGTTTGAATAATCTGACAGTCTAATTAACATTTCAGTCCCTCTATCAAACATTTGCTTTCAAAGGCAAGAAGCATTTTCTGGATATACTTTATGGAGCATGGGGTTGCAGATTGCACATACCACTTCATCATGTCATTTATCCCAAGAAATGGATGTAGCTTATTAGTCATTGCCACCTCTGTAGTAGAGCTTCTTTCATTTTTCCAGGAATTTGAGTCTATCAGAATTTAAAACTTTTCTAGAAAGCTTACAGGTGCTTTATTTAAATATGTTGCCTTTCAAAGTGCTCTGAGAATAGAGTTAGGTAAATATTTCTTTATTAAATGATTAATTCCATAAATAAATTTAATTCATTGAATATAAAATTAAAATCATTTACAACTTATTCCAGTATTACAGGGGAGGAAAGGGGTAGAAACAAAAAAAAAACCTCAGAAAAAAAAACAAACAAACAAAGCTACATTTTGATAAATAAAATACTCAGCTTTAAAACAACTGATTTCTGTTTGCCATTAAACTACAGTTGGTACATAATAGCTGCCACTGTGAACACCCCACAAGTGCCCACCTCAGGAAGGAATGTAACTTCCAACTTGGTTGGGAAAGGGCAGGAGAAGATGGAGGGAAAGGGAAAGCAAAGTGTTAAGTTGAACAGTACAGGAAAAAAAAGGTTTCATAACCAGAACAAAACATTTATCTGATCACTTACAAACAGAAAACAGTATATAAAAGATAAGGTGCTCCAAAAAGAAGCAATAAATTTGCTCCAGTATTATGAAGCCTTAAGTATGCTTAAATCTGTTGCATTAGTGTCCAGTTGCACAGTGCACTCTTGTAACATCTCAGTGTTGCCCTCAAATGGGCAAGGCACCACTTCCATCATAAGAGTCCTTTCTCCATGGCTGGTTACTTCAAAATTCTGTTTAGCATCCCACCCCCAACGTGACTTAGTCCCTAAATTTGTGAATGTCATTGACAAGTCTGTAGTAAGGATAAGCTTCATTTGCATGTGGACAGTTGTAGTTGCATCTGCAAGACTGGATCATCATGACACTCTTAGTGAAGGTTTCTCCATCATCACAACGAAACCTGATCTTGACAGTCCTGGTCTGCTGGGGAGTACAGCATCTTCCATCCACGCACGAGCCACAGTACTTGGGGCGATACTTCTTCACGCTAGAACATCCAGCATAAGTAAACTTCACAGGGGCCTGGGACTTCTTCGTCTTGGTACATTTTTTTCCCTTCTGTAAAGAAGAGGTAATAATGTTATTAGTGGGAGATGCTTCTCCAGCCTTTACTCTCTACCCGAGCCAGTTTTGGAAAGAAGAGCACCAGAAGAGTCTCTATTTACCTTCAGGGAGGCATAGCTAGGCTGGCCACATGGCCTCACTTCACATATCCTGGTCTCTTTGATGAGTTTACAGTCAGGATTATCATTGGTAACCCTTGTAGAGATGCCAGTTCCACAGGTCTTTGAGCACTGGGACCAGGAAGTTGTTTGCACGATGCATTTGGGATTCTCAAATGCTCGGCTTTGTGGCTCGGATCCAAAAACTGGAAGAGAAAAGGAGGGCTTAGACTAAACATATGCTCTTACTAGGCTTCTCTTTCCTTTGGGGTCTAAGAGGTCACAGAGCCTCTCTCCTCCTCGCCTAAACTGTCACTGTTACACAGATTAACCCTTACTCACCAGGTAGCATTTTCAGGCCTCCTTTCACAATGGCAATTAACTCATTGTTCCTGGTTAATTCGCCTTCAGACACATCCAGACCAAACTCTTTGCTGAAGAAGCCTTCCATCTCATCCAGCGCATCCTTGCTTTCGTCGCAGACCCACTCCTCGCAGCACTGCCCGGGGACTTTGACCAGCCTGGGGCTGGGGCAGCCCAGGTTAGGAAGGGAGAGCTCCTGCGGGCAGAGCGGGATGCAGCCCACAGCTCCATCTATGCACGTACACTGGTGTTTACAGTTCGGCTGGAAGCTTTCACCGTTCTGGTAGATTTTGGAGTTATATTCACATGGTCTCCCCTCGGACTGTGCTGCACAGATTAACAAAGAGAGAAAGGAGGGAGTTAGAGGTGGGAATCGCTTATTTAAACACACATATTTGCTGGTCTGTTAAATTCAATTTATGGTAAAGTTCCCTACAATCCCCGGGAGACGTGGGGCTAGAACAATAAGTTAGTCAGGAATCACTTTTCCTTATGTGCTTTTAGCAGAGCCCAGACATACTGAATTGCATTCCAGACTGCTGAAGTCATATGCCTTTCTGCCAAGCTACCAACAACAAAGCATAACCATACATGGACTCAAAATTACTAAACTTCGGCACTACGGGGACCACTATTTTTCCCCCCCGGGTTGGGTGGGGGGGG